TTGGCGTTAAAACGAAACGCGTTTTTTTATAAAAAAAAGTCTAATCCAAACCACTTCGCTCGTAGCGCCCGAGAGGGAGCTACGAGCGAAGTGGCTTGGATTAGCCGGTTCTTCCACATGCGAAGGTACAAATATCACTCCGGTGGCCCCACTCGTCCCTTCTAGTACACTCTAACCAGGATGCAATACTGGATACCCCGGTTTTCACTTGATCCCAAGTAAGCTTTAAACATTAATTTATAGACGTTGCAACACCCATAAAACATACAAAGGCCACGCTCATGAACAGTTAAGATAGAAAACAGCCACGCTTGGCACGAACTTCGCTGGTAGCGTTACCTGGTAGGTTCTACACAAAGCGCCTCAACCGGAGTCAAGTTGGGAAACTCACCCTTGAAACGTGAACCGCTGGCGTCCACCGAGACCAAACTAAATTAGGGTGCCTACATGTCTGTCTGTCTTAGGGTGAAGACATCCATTGTTGACCTGAGTGTGCCAGCGCGTGGCGATCTGAGGCACTCGGTGCGTCACATGGGCGGCAAGATTGCGTCTATGCATTAGCCAAAGCTACGCGCTCGTGCTGAGTGACACCGGATGACGGACCCTTCAAAATACATTAAAACATAACGATTGGTCGGAAAAATGGCTGAGATGTCACCACTCAAGCAAAGTGTGTACGACACGCGTACACGCGTGTCATGCACACTTCATACACGCGTGTGTATGAAGGCACTCTAAACTAAATACGGATAACAGCGCCACCCTTTAGAGACAAGCCAAAAATAAAAGTTGCTTTATATAGATAATGCCAGATGACCCTGCGAGAGGGCACCACCAGCCCTTGCACGAATTAGGAAGGCTCAAGTGAGGGTGGGTGCAACTGCTAGATCGGCGATCACGGGACATGGACGCCATTTAATTGCTAAATTTTGCTGGGAGTCTATGAGGCAAAGGGTCGTTTTCTTTCCTAACTCGGGTCATAAATGCCCATTAAGGTGCTTGAATAATATACACAAGGTATAAATGATTACTTTTCCATAGCCACCAGTTTTGTTGCGATAGGTTAAGTATTTTTTTAACGCGAAAAATGGTAAATTCCGCCATCTTGGACGTTGCTGCTTGTCTGGCAACTTTACTTTCACCGCTCGACGTTTGCAATTCTCGGAGCGAGGAGGAAGCGAGAGAGGCTGCATTAAGGCGCTCGTTGCTTGCAATGGGAGGCAAGAGGAGGAAAGGCGCATGGAGCAACAGAGTTGCAACAGAGCGGGCGCCTGCTCTCGTGCAGGCAACACTGGCGCATACCCTTTCTCGAATCCTCTCCCTCAGGCGCCGCCATTAAATTGCAAACGCTCCCCAGGTTTTGAGTTGCGCCCACCCTCACTACAGCCTCCCTAGCACGAATAGACCCTTTCCGAAATTCAGTCTGGCCACTTTGATCGCTATCATCATCTGCGGAAAGGCATCTGTGCCATACCAATGACGGCCTTCTAGTGACTCATAAAGGAAGACGTTGAAGATGCTTCTAAGCGGATGATGCGAGGCCTGTACATTTGGGGGGTCAGTACGATGCGACGTAGGAACGAAACACAAGAGCTACGTAGGCGTTTATTTCTAATAACTTAGATTCAGTCAATCTGCGGGCTGCACGGAATCGGCTTTAAGGCATTTCGGTGTATAGAATTTTCCCGAGGCATCTGAGTGGGTTGGAGCTTTGTTCTGAATGCAGGTTCTTGGTTACCATCAAACTGAAAGTGATCGAGAAAGAACTCGCTCTGAGGAATTCCTCGCGTGCCGTTGACTTGCAAAAGTGACGGTGCCAATACAAGTTCATTTCCACCATTGATATGGCAAAACCTAAACTGCTTTACGAAGCACTAGATGGCACTGAATTTCGGGAAGGGTCTATTGACTTGAACCAAAAGCTTTGCAGTTCCCGGAGTGGCCGCTGCGGGGCCAATGGCGGCGTTGCGATCGTGTTTAGTCTTGTTCTTGAGTACGGATCCAAGCCCCTTTTTCAAAGCAGGCTCCTATGGCAGTTTCCCAACTGCGCGAAACGTTATTCGCGGCCATGCCAGTATGTTACGTGCCACGAGCGTTCGGTTAACCGTGTTAGTTTCCAGTATCCAGCAATGGCGACGCCTGCAAGCTATGTATATAAGGTATTCACTGGGTGCAATCTTTGAGCGCGTTGTTCACAGTGCATCCCCTGTTTGTGTGTGCGTGTGGGGGGGGGGCACTGGTATTGTTGGCCTGGCAGAAGTCATCGCATCCTTATACCAAGCTCCTACCTAACGTCTGCAAAGAACGGCGATCTTGATGGTGTCAAATGCCCGTCGCGGAAACACTGTGGAACTTAACATATACATAGGGTTATTCGTTTTCGGGTAAAACCCGATTTTACCCGATTTTTACACCCCGAACATGTTTCAGGAAAATCGGGTTAAACCCGCTTTCTCCCCGAATTCCAAAACCACATAACCAACCTCTTTATTTTTACGCCGCACGGAGTTTGCCGTGCACACACGCTATCTACCCTACTTCGGGACAGCAGTGACCTGTAGTTCATTTCGCAAGCTGCGTGCAACACTGTGGACGCTACACGGCTCTCAACCAACCGCCCAACGAGCGCGCCTAACTCACCGTGGCATTCTACGGAGGCCGGCTGAGGAAAAGCGACAATAGGCGTTGGGGCCTCGGAGGGACATTTCCGTCCCCCCGCTGTGCAGGTGGAACCGCCTCGGCGCGCCACCTAGCTTCGGCCCTGCTGCACGCAGCTTGTGAAATGCGCTATCAATCCCCCTTCGATCTCTGAGGTGTCGACGCCCAACAGGGTCTCTCGGGTAGCATGGCCATCGCGCTGACGTCCAACCTTTCTCACGAACAACGTTCGAGCCAGTCAGTCGCGTAAACAAATCGGGAAAACTTAACAAGTTTATTTCATAGCGAATTATCTGACCGAAGACGACCGTCCCCGAACGGTCGGGACTTTTGTTGGCACCTGAGAGAGAGGAGGATTCCTTGGGCGGTACTTCCCTTGAAGCGACCGACGGCATTCGAAGCTGGAAAACCCTGATGCCCCCCCCCCCAGTTACCAGCTTGAAACACATCCCTAATTTTAACGCGTTAGCAATAAACAGCTCGTAATACCCTCCAATAACAAAAAAAACAGCTAATGTATTATTGAGTACATTCGTGTATTTAACCCGAAAAAACCCGAACTTCCGAATGATTCCTAAAAAAAAAAAACGATTTCTTCCCGATTATCAGCCTGAATAATAGCACCCGATTTTTACCCCCCGAATTTAGAAAAATATAAAACCCGAAAAACGAACAACCCTACATATACAACTGTCGCAGAAGTGGGGAAAAATCTTCAGTAAATGAAAATAATAGCCCACTCTGAGGTCAACAAAAATTACTTTAAAAAAAAATAATAATAGAAGTGTTAGGTTGGACCGATGGCAGGCGATAGGTCCACGCCCGGTTCAATGTCAGGTAAGGAGGCGACGACACGCAGATGGTCAAAAACAAAACACAAATTTAATCAGACTTAACACCAAGCAGTCGGTGGAGCGCGGCGACAAAGTAGACACAACATAGAAATCACTTAGTAAACTATCCAAAAAACCTCGGGAGTACATGCACTAACATCCCGGTTAGAAACGCTGAAAACGTTCCCGAACAACCCTCGATTAGGCACACTTAAAATTGATCGAACACGTTGGCCCTAGCCAATCACAACATAAAATAAAAGTCTTATCTGTAGTCCAGACGCTGCAGAAGCCTGTCTTGGAGTCCGTGGTCGATGAAGAGGAGTCGTCACGGAGCCCAGAATCTTCACGCTGCTTGCAGGGACGACCCGACGCCTTACACGCGCACGCACACGCACCGCAGTGCAAACACGCCCGAAGGCTAAAATAAACCTCAGGCCCGCAGGCAAACTAGGGTCACAGCCTTACGTACAGAAAATAAAATCGAGACTCAAAAAGCAAGGCAATGACGAGTGGAGTCCCGGCCAGCTCCGGGCACTCCTAACCCCAAAGACGAACCACACCCTTTGTCCCTCCAGTCCACGTCTTTATATTGAGACTAGCAGCATTTTCAGGGCTCGTAATCTGACCAATCAGCAATGAGCTTCTTAGCGCCCATCGCCGGTCTTTGTTTTAGCGAAGCAACTAAAAATACAAAAGTACCGCACCGAGAAACAATCCGCGAGAGACTTTGCCCGTCTGCGCGGCGGTGAACGCAATTCAAGATGCCTGGCAAAGCAACTAAATACAAAAGTACAGTACCGAGAAACAATCCGCGAGAGAGTTTGCCCGTCTGCGCGGCGGTGAACGTGATTCGAGATGCCTGGTTGTGAGCACTGCCCTCAGTCGACAAGCAAAATTAAAATAAAAAATACAACAAACCAATGCTCTCGGTCGGCTTCGACTTTCGAAGAATATAGGCACCATCCGGCGCTCCCATATCCTCTCTCACCTGGGGAGAGGGTTCTTCCGCCCGGTTTCATAAACAGCCGCATGGAAACGGACAAGACCGAAAGTTGACACCATGCATCTTGCACCCCTGGCGCGCCCGAGAGCTCTCACACAAAGCTTGCAAGAAAACCCCGCGATTCGTGACACGACTCCCCACTTTAAAAATATTCACTCGTGAATATTTCACAATAACAAAGAGCGAATCGCAAGAACACATCTCTAAACCCACAATGGGGCACTCTGTTCACATCAAATTCAAGAAAATGCGGAAGCAACATCTTCAAAGAACACACACTATGGCATAAAAAAGAAACAATCACTCTTGTTGTGGGCAACAATCTTGACATATCCAACGGTACACGATATAGGCAATTTGTGCGTAGGTGCCATTTCTGCAACCAAAATGCACACAAAATCAACTAAATGTACCCAAGATCAAATAAAATACAAATGTGACGAAAAAACCCTACTCACACGCAGGACAGCTGTAACATACAAGTTCAAACTATTTCTCACTGTTTACATACGACTCAAATAGTCCGCCCCCACATTTTCACTTCCCTTGATATACTGAACTTTAAAATCATACTCTTGCAGCTTCAGACTCCAACGCATTACCCGGGCGTTAGCGTGCCGGGTTTGTTTGATGTACTGGAGCGGTTCGTGGTCTGTCTGGAGCACGAATGTTCTCCCGTAGAGGTAGGGCTTAAATTTGTCGATGCCCCACACTACGGCTAATCCCTCTCGTTCAACAGTTGCGTAGGCTTCCTCCCTTGGGAGAAGTTTCCTGCTGGCGTACGCTATGGGGTGTAGCGTGTCATCATATTCCTGCAGCAGGATTGCGCCAATGCTGTGATCGGACGCATCCGTTCGTAGCACGAACTCCCTCTCGAAGTTGGCAGCTTCCGAATGGGGGCCTCCGTAAGGCTCTTCTTCAGCTGGTCGAAGGCTCGCTCGTGTTCCGGTGTCCACTTCACGGTGTTCGACTCTCCCTTTTTGGTTAGGTTAGTGAGGGCGCTGAGATCTCTGCGTATCCAGAGATAAAATCTCGGTAGTAGCCCGTGAGGCCTAAGAACGCTCGCACCTGACGCTTTGTCTCGGGTCGTTTTGCGTCCCGGAATTTTTCGATGGTTTTCGGAAGGGGGGCCACTACTCCGCGGCCGATCTGATGTCCTAGAAAAGACACTTCCTCTAGGCCAATCTCGCATTTGGTGGGCCTCACAGTCAACCCCGATTTGCCAATTCTGTCAAACACCTGCCGTAGAGTGCTCAGGTGTTGTTCCCAGGTGTCAGTAGCGATCAGTACGTCGTCGTAGTAGAAACTAACGCCCGGTATGTCTCCCAACAGGAGCCGCATAAGGCGCGTGAACACTGCCGGCGCCGTCTTCAGTCCGAACGGCATGTACTTGAACTGGTACAGGCCACTGGCCGTGGAAAAGGCAGTCTTTGGTCTTGATTCATCTGTCAAGGGGATCTGCCAATACCCCTTGCTGAAGTCGAGCTTAGAGAAGAACCGTTTCGTCCCGACCTCTGCGAAAAAGAGGTCTGCTCGTGGCATGGGTTCTGAGTCGGCGGCCAGCACGTCGTTCAACTGCCGGAAGTCGACGCAGAGGCGGTGAGTCTGATCGGGCTTTTTGACCACCAACACAGGGGAATTGTATGCGGAGTCTGCCCGCTCGATAATTCCCATCTGTAACATGCTTCGTATTTCGTCTTCGATGCTGTCGCGCACTGCAAATGGTAACGGATATTGCTTCGTGTGTACCGGCTTGTCCATTTCCAACTTCAAGTGACACTTGATAAATTCGGTTCGTCCTGGAACGTCGGAGAAGATGGCCCTGGACTCTTGAACCAAGGCCTCGGCCTCTTTTCGACACTCCGATGCGAGCCCAGGTGCGAACATGACATCGCTCGCAGTTTCGGTGCTCTGCAATCTCAGCATGGGGAAACCGCCCTCTCCTTCGGACTCCTCCAATGCGACAACCGTACAAGCCGCAGGAACCTCGTCAGGTGCTCGTTCTTCATACTTTTTAAGCATGTTACCGTGGAATAATTTTATGCCATGCCCCAGGTCCACTTCGGAGTCTAGGAGGCCTTTCTGCCCGACTACGGGGTATGGTCCCTTCCATTGCATCAGCAACTTGTTCTGGTCGGTGTGGAGCAAGATTAGAACTAAATCGCCAACACCGATGTGCCTGTAACGGGCCTTCCGATCGAAGCAACGACGGTAGCGTTCGCTGGCCCGCTCAAGTTCCTCGTGGGCAATCTTACAGGTGTCCTCGAGCTTGTTGCGTAGCTCGAAGACATACTCATACGTTGTCTTGGTCTCCTCCTCCAGCGCCTCATTCGTCCACAATTCTTTAAGTACAGAGAGGGGACCTCGTACGTTCCTTGCGTAGAGCAGCTCAAAAGGGGAAAATCCCAGGCTGGCCTGAGGAACTTCTCGGTACGCAAACAGCAGCGGTGCCAAGTAGCGATCCTAGTCTGCTGGCTTTTCTTGACACATCCGCTTCAGCATGGTCTTGAGCGTTCCGTTGAATTTCTCTACAAGGCCGTTTCCCATAGGGTGGTAGGCCGTCGTGAACAGTTGTCTCATGGAGAGCAGCCGTCCCACCTCTTTCATGACATCCGACGTAAAGTTGGAACCGCGGTCACTGAGCACTTCTCGGGGAACCCCGGTTCTAGTGAACATCTCCACGAGTGCCTCGGCTACTCGCTCGGTGGAGATATTGGGCAACGCCACAGCATCTGGATACCGCGTCGCGTAATCGACCATCGTTAAAATATACTTGTTTCCCCTCTTGGTGGTCGGTGAAATGGGGCCCACGATGTCGATGGCCACGCGTTGAAAGGGCGTCTCGATGAGCGGCATACTCCCCAGGGGCATCTTGGGGACCTTTCCTTTCGGCGTCGTGCGTTGGCAGCGGTCGCAGGACTTCACGAAGCGTTTCACGTCTGCTCCGACGCCAGGCCAGAAGAATTCTTCGAGCACTCGGTTTATTGTCGTCTGAGCACCCTGGTGACCCGCCAGAATCCCATCGTGCGCCATTTTAAGGACGGTGGTCCTGTACTTCTTAGGCACCACCAATTGGTGAACTTCTCTTCCGGGTGACGTTCTGTAGGACCGGAACAGGATTCCGTTTGTTACCACAAACATGCAGGAGTGCTTCCGCTTCTTGCCCGTCATAGTTTTTCCGACGTTTTGGAAACACGTTCTCAGGCTCGAGTCGTTGTGTTGTTCACTCTTCAAAGTGTCTGGTGTAACTGCTCCCTCCTGAACTTCCGATACTCTCAACGGTGTAGGCACCATGGTCTTGTGTTCAGCCGCCTTCTTTTGGAGTCTTGTTGCAACCGCCGCGGTCAAAATCGGTTCTTCGATCCGTACGTCAGTCTCGGGCCTGCTCTCTTCCGCTGCTGGTTCAGCGTCCCATTCGGGATCGGGATCTGCTGCTGCTCGAACGCCCGGAATGTTGCCTAGTATTATATCATACAGAGGACTTTCCATGCAGAGAGCCGTCACCTCCCCACTGAAGAATGGAGACCGCACCAGCAGTCTCGCCTCCGGCAGCATCTTAACGGTGCCATCAGCAAGGTAGACCGCCTTGGAAGTTCCCGTGAGCTCCTCTTCCGAGATGAGATTCTTCCGAACGACTACCGTGTTGCAGCCGGTGTCGCGTAGGACGGTGACACTGCGTGTTCCTACCCTACCGGTTCGCACGGGTACTCCATTCGTCAAATTCGTTTCCTCCTCCTCTATCGTGGAGTTTACCACAGGGAGACGGTCACCGTTCTTGAGTTCCACGTATCCGTCCTGGACGACCACTTCTTTCTTCTTGGTGGGCTCGGTAGCTACACAGCAGGAAGCTTGAGAACGCCCTTTTGATCCTTCTTGACAGGAGTTGGCCGCGTGGCCCGTTTGTCCGCACCTCCAACAAGATGCCTTAGTTGTGACTTTATCCCGGCAATCGGCGGCACGGTGCCCAAGCCGGTTACAGAGAAAACAACGCAATGGTGGCCGCTGTCCTGTACTTTTCTTGTCGACGGGCCGTGGGGGTTCGGGAGTCGGCTTCTTTTCCTCCACCTTCATTCCAAGCGACTGCGTTCCTTGCGCCTCCAGGTATCGGTCGGCCAAGTCTGCCATGTCGGCCAGTGTTTTGGTTGTTCGCTCTTTGATGAAGAGGGCCAGCTTTGGCGAGCAGCCCTTGAGGAATTGCTCGGCTAGGAGCAGATCTCGAAGAGTGTCGTACTGCTTGGCCGTCTCAGAGAGCTCAACCCAGCGGTCGAAGAGACTGGCTAGACGCGCTGCATATTGGGCCCCGGTCTCTCCTCCTTCAGGTTTGGCGTTCCGGAACTTTTCGCGGAAGCCGTCCGCGTTCAATCTGAACCTTCTCATCAAAGCCCTTTTAACGGCATCGTTATCCACTGACTCCTCTGGGCTGAGACGTCCAACGACCGAGAGCGCCTCACCTTTCAGGCACAGCGCGAGCATCGTCGCCCACTGGTCGCGAGGCCACTGTAGGCCCATGGCTAGACGCTCGAACCTGAGGAGGTAGGCGTCTAAGTCGTCTTTTTTCTCATCGAAGGCCGACATCCAACGCTGCGGACTAGTCAGCACTGCGCTGCTGGTCACAGAACCTTCGTTCGAGGGACTGTTCGTCCTCGCTCTTGCATTTTCCGCTTCCGTCAGCCGAATCTTCAGCTCCATCATTTTTAATTCAGCTTGAAGCTCCGCTTCTCTAAGTTGAGCTTGCCTCTCTCGTTCGCGAGCGCGCTCCTCTCTGTCCTTATTCTTCTCTTCTTGTTCCCTGTTCTTATCTATTCGATTCCTTTCTTCTTGAACCCAGGCTTGCAGTTCAGCCCCGCCTAAACCAAGTTCTTTCCCAAGAGCGTACAACCTCCGGGGTCCATCTCAATACTTTAATAGGGCGCGAGCATGAAAAAAAAAATTATCGCAAGTCCCCTTAACTTATGCACGCTTGCTATGACTCTCCACGGTGAGGTCGTCTCACTCCGACATTACACTATCGCCACCGGTCCTGTCGCGGACGCCAGTTTGTCGCAGAAGTGGGGAAAAATCTTCAATAAATGAAAATAATAGCCCACTCTGATGTCAACAAAAATTACTTTAAAAAAAATAATAATAGAAGTGTTAGGTTGGACCGATGGCAGGCGATAGGTCCACGCCCGGTGCAATGTCAGGTAAGGAGGTGACGACACGTAGATGGTCAAAAACAAAACACAAATTTAATCAGACTTAACACCAAGCAGTCGGTGGAGCGCGGCGACAAAGTAGACACAACATAGAAATCACTTAGTAAACCATCCAAAAAACCTCGGGAGTATATCATGCACTAACATCCCGGTTAGAAACGCTAAAAACGTTCCCGAACAACCCTCGATTAGGCACACTTAATATTGATCGAACACGTTGGCCCTAGCCAATCACAACATAAAATAAAAGTCTTATCTGTAGTCCAGACGCTGCAGAAGCCTGTCTTGGAGTCCGTGGTCGATGAAGAGGAGTCGTCACGGAGCCCAGAATCTTCACGCTGCTTGCAGGGACGACCCGACGCCTTACACGCGCACGCACACGCACCGCAGTGCAAACACGCCCGAAGGCTAAAATAAACCTCAGGCCCGCAGGCAAACTAGGGTCACAGCCTTACGTACAGAAAATAAAATCGAGACTCAAAAAGCAAGGCAATGACGAGTGGAGTCCCGGCCAGCTCCGGGCACTCCTAACCCCAAAGACGAACCACACCCTTTGTCCCTCCAGTCCACGTCTTTATATTGAGACTAGCAGCATTTTCAGGGCTCGTAATCTGACCAATCAGCAATGAGCTTCTTAGCGCCCATCGCCGCTCTTTGTTTTAGCGAAGCAACTAAAAATACAAAAGTACAGCACCGAGAAACAATCCGCGAGAGACTTTGCCCGTCTGCGCGGCGGTGAACGCAATTCAAGATGCCTGGCAAAGCAACTAAATACAAAAGTACAGTACCGAGAAACAATCCGCGAGAGAGTTTGCCCGTCTGCGCGGCGGTGAACGTGATTCGAGATGCCTGGTTGTGAGCACTGCCCTCAGTCGACAAGCAAAATTAAAATAAAAAATACAACAAACCAATGCTCTCGGTCGGCTTCGACTTTCGAAGAATGTAGGCACCATCCGGCGCTCCCATATCCTCTCTCACATGGGGAGAGGGTTCTTCCGCCCGGTTTCATAAACAGCCGCATGGAAACGGACAAGACCGAAAGTTGACACCATGCATCTTGCACCGCTGGCGCGCCCGAGAGCTCCCACACAAAGCTTGCAAGAAAACCCCGCGATTCGTGACAACAACGTAGTAGACTCGTTAGCGCTCTCCGCCCAGTCACATTCAGGACTAACTTATCGAGACAGCCATACTACCGCAAACTGGCGTTGTTTCTTAGAGGCCGATGACTTGACGACATTCTAACGGAGCTTCACAGACCGCCACCAGGCGCAATATGGAAACTTGTTCATTCGTTTTAAAATGAATTTTCTTGACTTTTCGGCCGACAGCCCAGAAACAATAATCTAGAATAGTGCTTCTGTGCAGCCACCACAACATAGACCGCATCCACACAAAGAAATAGGAGAAAAAATTTGCTCTTTAAAGTTGAGTTATCTGCGGTTAAGCCTGCACCCCGTATAACACTGGCATAAGTGCGTGAGACCAAGAGACGCCGTTTCACACCTTGAAAAGTAAAAAGAGAAAACAAAAATAGTGAGAGGACACTTAAGCACTTGTTATGAGTTGTTTATGCAAAAATATGCCGCCTGCGACGTATTGCTTCCGCCTCGAGTTGTCGAAGCCTCGAAGGGCCTCGTCCTCTTGCCGCAAGACGCTTTGAATCGCTATCCGCTAGCGCCTCACGCTTTCGAAAGCCTTTGTTCTGTCCCCTATCACGTTGCGCCACTGCTCGTTCCGCCCGTAGTGTATTTGGAGGCTTGACAACGATGGTGGATTTCACTGCTTGCCTCCGCGCTCGTTGCGCTGCGTTATTCTGCTCTCTAAAGCGCGATTCAAACCAACGCGTTCCTTTGCGCGCGTAGGCCGCGTGCGCTTTCGGGAAATTGCGTATTTCGCGACGTCGCGCTGATTCCGTGCGCGTTCCGGGCGCGGATAAGAAATTTGGATGATTTTAACTCTTTCTGAAGGCTCAAGAAGACGCGCTGTGACGTAGTAGGGCGCTCCCTACTACGTGTTTTTTTTTTTTGGTTTTTGAGTAACACAATTATGTATAGGCTGCAATTATGCGTTCTACTCCCTGATCCACAGCCTCCTTCCGAATTTCCCCGATATCTCGTGCTGACTTCCGCCGCTTGGCATCGGGCGCTTGCGCGTGCGCAGAACGCTTCTCCCCAGGCAGCACAGAGACGTTGAAAAGACGTCGAAAGAGCGTGATGACGTCAGGAACCACATGTCGAAAGAACGTCTAGAGTCTGAACGAAACGTCCCTTCGACGTAATATGGAAAGGATAATGTCTGGAAAAACGGGTGGATTTTACGTCGACATAACGTCCCATTTAAGGTGTATGCACATGAAGGAGAACTCCGCGGACGGATGTCATGACGTCCACAACCCGGAAAACTCCGTCTTCGGCTCCGCTGCCCACCTGCGGAGCTTTCGTGCTAAGAGTATGAAGTTTCCGCGCCTCCGCCACGGAGGAGAACGGCGCCGCGAGGCGTCAATAAGGGATGACGTATGTCTCACGTGGTGCGGGCTCCGTGGAGGAAAGTGGCGGATTTCTCCTTCGTGTGGATACCCCATTAACGACCTTAGAACGCTGAGTGCACGTCTGAATTGGACGGGAAGTCAAATGATAACCTTATATAAACGTTGACGCAGTGTCCCATTCAATATGTCTAAATTGAACGGGATGTCAATTGAGAACGTCCTATTAACGATAACGTAACGTCCCATTTAACAACATAAAATGTCGAGGGCACGTCTGTGATAGCGTCATGTCAACGTTGAAATAACGTCCCATTTAATGTCCATGAAATGTCGAGCATACGTCTAGACTGAACGGGGTGTCAATTGATAACGGTCTCGACATGGGTCACCGTAGAACAATGGAGTCAACCCGATCTGGCTTCGTTCCTCGAAGGTATGTTCTCGAAAGCATATATATTCGGACGGAAGACACCATTTGCGAAATCCCCCAAGCGCCGCGGCCCGCCATCCAGGAATCATGGGAACGGTGTTCCTTCAGCTCCCTACTGATCGGTAATTTCGACCACTTCCATGGTTACACAGTTTTGGGTGTAATTCGAAGTCACCATAAACAAGCGTCCTATAGTGCCCAAGGACCTGTCATATAACTTTTAACATTTCTCGTTGATGACAACGTTTTCGATACTGTGCATGCTGTCCACCCTTCAACGTGGCTCAGCTGCAGAAATCTCTTACATTATTATCATTTTCTTACAGCTTCAAAGACGCCGATATTAAGTTAGAAACGCTAAAATTGCTATAAAGAGCCCCGCTGACTCCGAGCTAAATCCTGCTTTTTGTTGTTGTGCATTCTCGGCTTTTTAAGCAATTCCTTCTAAAACAACATTCGCGACAATGATAATATTGTAAGATTTCAGCAGCTCAGCCAGGTTGACATGTGGATTGCATGCACAATATCAAAAACGCTGACATTGATGAGAAATTTTAAAAGTGGCATGACAGCACCTTGGACTGTATAAGGCGCTTCTTTAGGGTGATCCAGGTGTTCACTCTGACATTCTTGGGACGTCTCGCGCTCAACGTTCAAAGAACCTCCCGAAAAAAAAATGTAAAACTGACGTCGAATAATGTCGATGACGTCAAGGCGTTGCTCAGGACATTGTTGGTACGTCTCGTGCTCCACGTCCAAAGAAATTCCCGGAGAAAACGTAGAACTGACGTAGATTATTGCCGATGACGTCAAAGCGTTCCTCAGACATTGTAGGGACGTCTCGCGCTCAACGTTAAAAAAATCTTCCAAAAAAGCGTAGAGATGACGTCGAATATTGTCGATGACGTCAAGGTGTTGCTCAGGACCATGTTGGGACATCTCGTGCTCAGCGTTCGAAGAACTTCCCGGAGAAAACGTAGACCTGACGTTTATTATTGCGAATGACGTCAAGGTGTTGCTCAGACATTGTTTGGACGTCTCGCGCTCAACGTTCGAAGAACCTCCGAAAAAAAAACGTAGAACTGACGTCGAATAATGTCGATGACGTCAAGGTGTTGCTCAGGATATTTTTTAGACGTCTCCTGGTCGACGTTCAAATAAATTCCCGGAGAAAACGTAGAACTGGCGTCGATTAATGTCGAAGACGTCAAGGGGTTGCTCAGGACATTTCAGGGCATTTTAGTGACGTCTCGTGCTCGACGTTCAAAGAACTTCTCATACAAGACGTCGAACAGATATCGATTAGTGTTGAAGACGTCGAGGTGAAGCTGATGACGTTGTCACTACGTCGCGTGTT